GTCATTAATTAACCAATCAAAATGCTTGATGATGCCAATGTTTGCAATCTTTTGGCTTTGATTTTGATGGGAAAACAGCACGATTTTTTGTTTTCAAATCAAGAAATTAGTTATTTTTGGAAAGTTAAACTAAGCATTATATCGCTAGAATATAGCTACTAACTGGAAACCAGTAGTCGATCTGCCGACGTCCAATTCATTACGTGCCAAAATTTCAACTCTGTCTGGTGCTTTAGTGAGGTGTAAAATACAATGTTTTTGTGGCACTGGCGCCTAATTGAAGGTGGCACTTAACTGAAGACAAATACGGTAATAACCATTCCACAGATGCCTTCAAAACAGTTGTCTCTGAGATTAGGCATTATACGTAAGAAGTTAAAAGGTACTTAAAGTTAAGATTTGGGATTTGAATAGCCTTATATGTTTATTAAACTACTGTAGAATACTTTATTTTTGCTTGGAATGTATTTTCGCTATTTTCGCTGAAGGGATGATTCCGTGAAAATAAAATCCAGTGAATATACTACTTTCCTATATTTCACATTAAACTCATAAAAAATCAGTGAAAATAAATTCCATACAAAATGCCCAAAAAGCCTTTTCAGCGAAAATTAATTCCAGCTAAAATAAAGTATTCCACAGTATGTAGTTTTGTTTAATTTTTCACCTGTTCCTGTAATTCAATCAGTTGATTCTCTGCTTCCTGTAATAAAGAAATAAAACAATTGTTCAATAGCCAATGGGCAAATATCACTATGAAGCACATTTATGGAGAAACTCAACATGATGCATGTAGCAGTGTGAAGACACAGAGCCTTTATTTTTATTATTATTATTATTATTATTATTATTATTATTATTATTATTATTATTATTATTATTATTATTATGTGTTTATTTCTTTTCTCTCATAATTTCCATATTAAACTCTGGGAATGAATTGAAATGTACACTTTTGTTGTTACAAAGCAGTTTACTCATAAAGCTAAATGTCTTTTCATCAAATGATCTAATATAAAGATTAACAAACAATGCCCTTTTACTCTGTACAACAGAATGTGAATACCCAGATAATTTACGAAATACATGCGAGTGTGCTCTCCTAATAGAGTTAAAACTAAAAATTAAGAAAATTAATGACATTTATAACATTTTTCATTCCATTGTACATTAGAGTACATAATTTTACCTTATAATCCTTGGTGATTCGCTCTTTGGAATTCTTTAAATCTCGATAATCTGATGATAATTTTTCTTTTTCCTTCATCATTTTTTGAAATTCCTGTTTTTCATTTGCTAATAAATCCCGCATTCTACATTTCAAAAAAATGGTACCAGACATGATCAGCAAGTTAATAAATTTTGTTAGCATTCCACAACTGACAGAAAATAAAAACACAGCAGTTTGCAGAGACAGAAAGTGAACAGTTCAAACTACCACATCACATTACATTTACAACTTTTTCCAAATGGTGAATGACCAAATTATTTTATTTTATTTGAGTCAAAATTATCACATTTCAAATTGAATTACATTACTGAGCATTATAAACAGTTCTAAAAACAAAATTGTATTTCTTGTTCAAATCTAAGAAACCTTCAAAAGAACTCCTGTGTGCTGAAAGGACACTAAAGACATTAAATAAAACAAGTCATTGTTAATGAAACAGTCCCTGTCCAAAATTGTGTGATCTGACATATCAATTTGATGCTGATGAAGTCATTGAGATTAGATTGAAACCATTAATAGGAGACGGATTTGTAAAAAACTGTGATTTAGTGCTTTTACACGAGAATTGAACATTGGGCAGTCATATTGAATCAAATTACAAAAATAATGTTCATGTTGATGTATCTAATGGTATACTGTCTTTGTACAAAATTTAAACAGAAATGTTGATTGCATTCATGGGAAAGTAGGCATGGGTATCATGAAAAACAAAATGGCCACCAGTCAGCCATATTAGTTTGAATCACAGAAAAAATACAACATGCAACTATAAACCCATATGTATGATCATCATACCAACTTTGATCCAAATTGGCCTAGTCATCTTTGAGAAACAGCTCCGGACATCTCTGTACAAAATTTAAAGAGAAACGTTCATTGCATTCAAGAGAAAGTACAATGAAGCATGAGTACCATGAAAAACAAAATGACTACCAGTCAGCCATATGATGTGCACCTATAACCCAATATGTATGATAAACATATCAACTTTGATCTAAATTGGCCTAGTCATCTCTGAGAAACAGCTCCGGACATGTAAAAAATGACGATTGAACGCTTTTACAGGAAATTTGGGCATCGGTCAGCCATATTGAATCAAATCACAAAAATAATGTTGGTATAAATGTATCCCTTGGTATACTATCTTTATACAAAACTTAAAGAGAAAAGTTCATTGCATTCAAGAGAAAGTAGCATGGGTACCTTGAAAAACAAGATGGCTGCCAGTCGACCATATTTGTTCAAATCACGGAAAAAATATGACGTGCACTTATAACTCAATATGTATGATCATCATACAAACTTTGATCCAAATTGGCCTAGTCATCTCTGAGAAACAGCACCGGACATGTTAAAATTACGATTTAATGCTTTTACAGGAAATTTGGGCATTGGCCGGCCATATTGAATCGAATCACAAAAATAATGATGGTGTAGTTGTATCTCTTGGTATACTATCTTTGTACAAAATTTAAACAGAACCGTTCGTGGCATTCAAGAGAAAGTAGCATGGGTACCATGAAAAACAAAATGGCCGCCAGTCTGCCATATTTGTTTGAATCACGGAAAAAGTATGACGTGCACCTACAACCCAATATGTATGATCATCATACCAAGTTTGATCCAAATCGGCTAGTCATCTCTGAGAAACTGCTGCGGACACATTTAGGTATCAGAAAAAGCAAATTTTACATCCAAAATGGCCGCCAGTTGGACATTTTTGCTCGATCATAAAGTAACTTGACGTGCATATGTAAGACATTATGTATTGTCTTCATGTAAAGTTTGAATGAAATCTGTCAATGGTTGTCCGAGACATAGCGTACGAATGGAATGAACCCAAATTAATAGTCCCCGTTTTCGGACTTCATCCAAATGGGGACTTATAATACACAAACTAAAAATTCATTAATATTCTCAAAATATAGTTAAAAGTACATACTTGACTAAGGCTTCTTTTAGCCTCTGATTCTGTTGTTCCATCTGTTTCATCTGGTAAGTATTAGCCACGCCATCCGCACCTGAAATACATCCCCAGGATAAGTCAATCAAATGTTATACTTTAATTTCTAAATTATTCGAAAATTAAAATTCAATTGAGAAGAAATTTGATTCGTAAAATTTACCTCCTTCTTCGATCTCACTTTTAAGAATTTCTAATTCAGTAACTGCTTCTTCCAATCTGTCCTTGTATTCATCCAGTTCTTTCTGTAAGGTGTCGGTCTGTAATAAAAAACATAATAAAACACATTACAGCCTTGTACTTTATGATTTGTACTGTAAAACCTGTCTAAACCAAATATACAAAAATAATACTGTCCTTTCCCACATATCATAAAAATATCTCTAGATATTAACAGAACACCTCTTTCTGACAGACATGTACATGTACGGTTTAGACAAGTTTCACTGAAGTTTCCTTTATCACCTTGATTTAAACCCAACATTGGTATGTTTACTTGTCATGCGCATATTTGTGACAATGGATAGAAGGAAATATTTCCAACACCTCATTAACATTACTAACTCACCGTATATTTATCAAATGTATGAGGAATCAGTATATGAACACTATAGTGTGAAACTCAATATTTCTGCTGCACTGAATGCATAAAATTAGACAACATCCAAAGAATCTCTGCATTTGATTTTGTTTAATTAAATGTGTAATAAAATCCTAATAGGCATGGCTATAATCATATATTTGATACACCAGTGTTCAATGCAAATGATCAAAACCATAGCAAAGGTATTAAACCTTATACCAGGGTTTTGCCCAGCCTGATTTGAGTGCCAGCCGCTATTTAATATATATTCATGAGCTAATTAATATTTACTGTTCCATCTACTAGCTACAATTTAAATACTTTAATTAATTTAACTTAATTTAATTTTAATCATTTCAATGTAAAATTAATCTGCTTTGATAAAAGTGAAAAAATATATATATACTAGTACTTTATTTTTGCAATCAAGTCTAAAATACCTATTTTGAGAAATTGACCTCTGACCTGGCAGCCATTTTTTTTTTTCAAAGCATGTCGTCCATTTGTTACGGCCAAAGTGGAATAATGGAATGGAATATAATGTATAATAATATAAATAATATTATAATGGAATGCTGTAAATCACATTAGTGAAAAATAAGTATTCCTTGTATCGCTGACTAAATATAGCTTATGAATTTAATTTTATGAATGAGTCATGAAGCAAAAAACATCAACAAAGGTTACTATATTCAAGTGCAAGTGTACAACAAACAAACGACAGCTTGACACATCCTTGTCGGTGACATGAGCAAGATATTGTTAAACTCGACAAATCTTACACACCACTAAACTGCAAACCTTCCTTCTGTTTATTAATATTCTTCCCTTACATTATCTTGATGTATGACTTATTCCGATCTGGTTCGTTGTCAATCAGAGGTTAAAACACATTAGGCCGATGTCACACATGTATGTATGTTAATTTTTTTCTTAAAACCAACAATAGAATGACAATAGAATGATAGAATGATGGTCCAGTGGCCTGTGTGTATCATAAATAAATAGAATAGTGCTGGTCGCCAACTTTTTTTCCTGGTCAAAAATTCTGAGTGCAGGTCGCTAGTGACCAGAGTTGGTAGATCCCTGGTTATACTTGTAAATGCTACTGCTACTATTTTTATAGTAATTTGCATATGATTTACATATATTTATATGAGGGATGAAATGATTAGAGGGTGCTGGTCATCATGCTGCACACTTTTAATTTTTGTATAATCAATATACTATAAAATGCTTCCATTTTGTGAGAAACTAGTTCTGATGTCAATCAGTGAAAATTGCTTTGTAGCAGTGAAAATTTAAGTTATAAAGTGTCAGTGAAATTCATGAAATTTTGTTTTCACAATGGTAATAAAATTCTCAAATTGTTATAATCTCTAACAACAAAAAATAAAGGGTTTACAATAATTTACACCTGTATACATTGTATGGAGACTTTAATAAAACATGGTGTGGTGAGTAAAGTTTTTTCAGTTGAATTATTTCAACTATATGTATGAAAAGGTTTGAGTTAACGAGTACAAAACTGTTCCTCACTACACTACACATGCATGTAATTTATATTTATATTCCAAAAATATATTTTTCATAAAGAATATTAATTATGCATGCAAGTAGACTATCTTCAAATGCAAGCATTATGATACTAATCATTTTGGTAACTAGATAGACTGGCTTTAGTCAGGGATTCTTTAATAATTAAGCTGAATTTATTGGGGTATGGAATTCATGAAAGATCCATTGCTAATAATTCTGAGTTGGAGAGTACACAATGTGAACAGTGATCCAATGTCATTGTTTTACTCATAGAAATAGAATGATGATCTTCGGGCATCACATTCTATTCCGCAAGCGTCTGGGTGCTTGTAAAAAGTCCACAAACGTCATATTACATTTTCCCAGTAGTTTATGTAACCAGTGTTTTCTAAATATGCTGTGTCAAATATGCTAACAACAGATTAGGTATCAATGTGACATAGAATTGTTTTTGTTGAAGACTAAATCTTTTCACTTGAATCGAGTTACAACAAAATTGTCCTGTCAACAGTTAACCTTTAAGCTGGCAAAATAGCAAAATGAAAATTAATTAACTTGACTAGAGCCAGTCTAATACAGTCTAATGTAGCTAGGCAACTAAATCTAACAATTCAATCACCAAGGCTATTTTGTTAACACATGAACTAAAACCATTGCGTGATTGAGCTTGTATGATACATGCAATAAATGTGACTTTGACATATCAAAAAGATTTGCTAGTAATGTAGCATCTCAACAAGCAGTGATGTACAATGTACCATGTCTCACCAACTACATATGTGTGGTCCCAACCCATTCTCAACTTGGCCATTATTTTAAGCTACCTCAAAAAAACAAATATACGGAGATGATATTTATATACTCGAAAAGCAATAATGGGGATGCTGACAATGGTGAAGACAACACCAAGGACAGACAATTACCCCCGCTATACCTTTTCCATCATCTGAAGGAAAAAAAAACAAAAAAAAAAAAAAACAGATGAACAGTAATAAATAATTGTAACCCAGGCTTGATCCCAAAAACAGAAATTATTGTGGACATTGTCTAGTAGCTTTGTAATTAAATACGATGGAATTTATTTCTGTCACTGGTTGTTCAAACTCCTACTTTGTTATGTAAAGTTTTTATAACCCTTAACTTTAGAAAGCATGCTTGATCACTCAATGGTTTGGCATGCATGGGGTTTTTATAATTAGAAAAACAGATGTTGTTTAAATTCAAAAAAACAATTGTGTTGTATTTGTAAGGTTACATAGTATTACACAAATTAATTACTCTGTATGTGTGGTTAATTGCAATTTATCACTCAAATTCTATTTTACCTTTTCTTCAGCCATTTCTTTATCCAAGGTAGCCATCTCTATGGTTTCCAAGACTTCTGATGACTGTTCCTCCATTCTATCTCTCTCTTCCAGTGCTTCCTTTGCAGTCTGTGGACATAATAACACATTAGTATTATTAGAAAAATAAGATGGAACAGTTAAGTACATTATTGAAAGACCAAGTATCAAAATTAAAGAAAGCTTAGAAAAAACTCCTATGTGCTGAAGGTATTGGAGGCATGAAGTACAAATAAGGATTACTGTATTCACTAGTTTTATTAAAATTGATGAGTGGAGGATACTTCAAGTTATCTGTGGAGCACATTTATGCAATAAGTTGTAAGCACAAAATTTAACCTATGTACCAAGTTTCATTGAATCTAGATAATGGTGGAAAAGTTAAATACTGGCTAATTAACATGCAAATTAAGTAATTAATATACATGGATTTCAAGCAGGAAAGCATCTTGTTTTATAACAAGCAGCCTCTCGGCTGAGATAGCTCTGCTGTTAGCAATGCACATTTCAATTAAAGAACAGAAGATATCATTAGAAAATGAACAATATGCATAGTATCAATGCTATGGGACTTGCTGTTTTCAACAAGAATTTAAAAATATCATTTTTCACCATAAATAATTGTGATTTTTAACAAAAAGTCGAAAATATCTTTTTTTACCAAAAATGACAAAAATATTCATCAAAATTAGAGAATTGAAGATATCATCATGAAATTAACAAATTTGAGAGTGGTCCACATATAGTACATATATATGTAATATCAAAGCAATTGGACTTGTGGTTTTTAACAAGAAGTAAAAAATATCACTTTTTACTAAAAATGACAAAAATATTCAACAAAATTAGAGAATTAAAGATATCATTACAAAATGAACAAATCTGAGAGAGGTACACATGTAGCACAATAATATTACAACTAGGACACTATTTAGTCAGCCGTAGTAAACAGCAAACAGCTATTCCATGTTTTTTGTTTATTTCTATTTTAGTTGTTTTTATTTTTGCTTGATTGATTTTCCTTACTAAAAGAGAAATGTATTCTATTCTATTCTATAGAATGCCCTGCCTGTCTGTTGACTCAGTATTTTTCTCAGTTTTATTGCCATAAAACATCTATTCAAGCTATCCATTCTCAACTAAATATATGCTTTAAATAAAATAAACAAGACAGGCAACTCAACTCAACTCAAACAAGACAGGCTTCTGTTTTCTCTAACTCAGTTAAAACTGGAAGCATTCAAGACAGGCAACTCAACTCAAACAAGACAGGTTTCTGTTTTTGTATAACCCAGTTAAAACTGGAAGCATTTAAGACAGGCAATTCAACTCAAACAAGACAGGCTTCTGTTTTCTATAACCCAGTTAAAACTTAAAGCATTCTGACTGGACATACTATAATGTAATCCTAAGACAGATGGCATTACATTTATGTTTTACTCATAGTACTGATTTCATTACAAACAATCAAGTTCAGGGTACTAGGAGGAAATTAGTAACCAGTCAGGAATAGATCACATATAGTCATTTTCCATTTTTTAACTGATTTTCTCAAATTTACTTAAAACAATGAAGTGATGCTATACCCTTTTAGCTTCTTGGAGTTGTCTCATCAAATCTGACTGTGCTTCAGCCATCTTGGATTTATGTTCCTGCATCTGTAACAATGATAATAATAATATCATTATTATACTTTAAGCACCAAAAACAATAAATTTGCTGATTGAATGCAATGAAATAGAACACAAACACCAACAAACATTTTTCTTTTTGACATTTTGGGCTATATTTTTCATTAGATTGTATCTACAAGCAGGAAAAATGTATAATATTAAGGTTATGATGAGAATATCACAAAGTATGCACTGGGGGAGTAGGGGTCGAAAAACTCCAAATACTGGAGCAGAGTTGCAATTATTATTGCAAGGCAAGTTCATAGCCATAAATTATTTTTTTGGATAACTACACACACGCTCGGAAATTGTAGTTAGGTTTTTTAGAAGGAAAAATATTTTATTTCACTCATTCATGTGAAAACCATAAATACAACATGACTGTACAACAATAAAGAAGGGAACCCAGATATTACACTAAATTAGATATCATACTGTACTTTTGCAGGCAGTAGGTCAGAATATTGCTGAAAATAAAATATCACCCCCCCAAAAAAAAAACTATCTCTAAAGTAACCATAAACAGACTGAAGGATGTACAGAACAGACAAGCATTAAAAAAGAAGACATTTGCAAATGTAAACATCGCCAAGTGAGCAAGTGATACTTCCAAATTTTCACTGTTTGAAAATGAAAATTATCAATTACAACAAGTGAACTATGAAATCATGGAAATGTGTTAGAGACGCACCTGCTGTAACTGACTGCAAACTATGAAAACATGGAAGTGAGTGAGAGACCCACCTGCTGTAACTGACTGCAAACTATGAAAACATGGAAGTGAGTGAGAGAGAGACCCACCTGCTGTAACTGACTGCAAACTATGAAAACATGGAAGTGAGTGAGAGACCCACCTGCTGTAACTGAATTCTAACTTTCTCATACTCTTTGAGTTTGACTTTATCTTCATTTCTTTTGATCTTCAATGTCTCCAGTTTTTCATACAGATCTGTAACATCAGCTTTAGAGCTATCCAACTCTTGTTGCAGCTTGACATTCTCTAGTTGCAATTCCAATACTTTGTTCTGTCCCACTCCGCTGTCCAGTGATGCTGCAGCTTGTGGTGGAGGACCGGGCTCCAGCTACAAACAAACATATAAATGATGTTCCAAAACATCATCAACATATAGGTATAGCCGTGTTGTGTTGTCAGCTGGTTATCGGCTCGGTTGCCTTTTCACAGAAACTTAGTATTTTTAAAGTGAGTAACATTATCATTAATAATTTCAACTTATTCTTCACAATTAAGATATATGACAGTCAGGGTCAGGGTAGCTTTAAACCAGCTTAAGACTAACCAATTATGTTTGATACTGAGGTACATGTACATGCATATCAAATCACAAAACAAACGAGCCATGCATGGCACAGTCCCCGTTAGTTATCAAATTTAAGATATATGGTTTTGTTTATAGTAATATAGCTGGAATATAACCATGTCAGGAATATGATTATGATGACTGTTTAACATTAAAATGATTGACATTTGTATCTGATTGTCAAACGAGTACTTGACCATATTAAGAGATATTCCTCTGGAACAGGATTAATTAAAACAAGCCATGCATGGCACAGTTCTCGTTAGTTATCGAATTTAAGATATATAGTTTTGTTTATAGTAATATAGCTGGAATATAATCATGTCAGGAACATGATTTTTTAACATTAAAATGATTGACATTTGTATCTGATCGTCAAACAAGATATTGCTCTGGAACAGCATTCATAATCAGCCATTTTGAATACATGTATATATATATATATATATATATATATATATATATATATATATATACATACGTGGACAGAGAAATTAAGACACGACTACATGAGTAAAGTTCACTCTACAGTACTGTTTCGTAAGGTACATGGAGTACCTCACTCATCAGGAGTTAAGACTTTATTAAATAAACCACCGAAACAGACTACGTTATAAGCGCTACAGATTTGCATAACAATGGAGTGTGTTTACG